CAGTTGTGTCTGACTCTTTGTGACCCCATGGTCTGTTGCCTACTAGGCTCCTCTGTCCATGGGATTTTCCAGGCAAGAGTACTGGAGTGGGTTCCCATTTCCTTCTCCAGGGGATCTTCCCAACCCAGGGATCAAACCCAGATCTCCCACATTGTAGGCAGATGTTTTACTGTCTGAGCCACCAGGAAAGATTATTTACTGATTTCCAACATTCCTAGAAACCAATGCTCATTACCAGCCCTCTGATACACCATAAACCAACAAACCAAGGATGGATTTGAGGGAGAAAGGAGAGAACAGTCAGCTTTGGGGGAAGAAGGGATAAGATCATTCTTTTTACACTGTGGTAGCCACCCTCCAAGATGGCCTCAATGAGGCATGCACCTCTTGATGTCTATACCCTTGTGTAATCCCTTCCTCTAATAAATAGGGCCGGCCTATGTAACACACAGGGTATCACATAAATAATGGTGTGTGACTTCCAAAAATCTGGACATAAAAGACACTGTGGCCTCCACCTTCTCTTCCTTGGATCACTTGGTCTAGGGGAAGCCAGTTGCCTCAACATGAAACACTTGTATAGTACTCCACAGAGGTTCACACAATGACGGGCTAGGCCTTCTGCAAATGCCAGCACAGATTCACTCCCCACAGGAATGAGCCATTCTGCAAGTAAAGCTTCCAACCCCAGGCAACAATCCTTCAGATGCCTGCAGTCCTGGCCGACATTTTGGCTACAACCTCATGAGAAACCCTCACCCAGAATTACACAGCTAGGCTGCACAAAAGCTGTGTGAGATAATAAATGTTCACTGTTAAGCTGCTAAATTTGGGGTATCCTGATACATGGCAGTAGATAACTAATGTATACATTTTCACAAGCCAATGGGAGCACTATTGAGCTAGTCCCTCTACAAAATTTGGTATGCTCCTAATAAACTGTTTAAGGAATGGAAGACTGCACCAGTTGTCCATTTGTTTTTCCCCTAATCCTGAGAAGAGTCTATGGTTCTATGGCTCTGGTACTGGGTATGGCAAAGGGCATTTGTACATGTATTGAGACCCATTTTATTCTGTATGACCTTAGAGGTAAAAATGACAAGTTGGGCAATCCTATAGTGAAACTAAGGGCAAAGCTCTAAAGTATTAGGTTCCCCCAAGAGTACACCAGGCTGTGACTTTTGTCCTAGAGTAGATTTTTATGTACAGAATTCCATATCTGATACACATATTTTCCAGGAGAGGAGTCATAGTTTTATTTTCAGATTCTTAAAGATCTGTAAGAGCTGCTCAATAATCGAGTCATGGATTTGATGGGCAGCTGTCTCAATACTGAGGAAACTGCACCATCTGGTTGCTTAGGTGGTAAACCAGAAGTTCTCACCCTGATCTCACTCTTACACTTACCCTGCCAGTGCATCAGCAAGCCCTGTCCATTCTCCCTCCAAATGTGTCTGATCAAATGTGTAAAATGTGGAGCGGAAGGAGAGTGAAGGGAAGGCCCCCCCATTTATAAACTGGGGCCAAAAGGTTTAAATAGAAAAGCAGAAAATAAGGGAACAGGTTAGGTGGAAAAGGACAGAGAATAAACAAGGGAGTTGGGGTTCCAAAGGTTCAGTATTCCAGAACTATAGGTCTATAAAAGTCAAATCTAATTGATACAAGTGTTCACTGTCTGGCCCAAAAGCAATAATGGAAATGTTCTATCTCTACTCTCCAACAGGATGACTGTGAGCTACATTTGGTTATTTAAATTTAACTGAAATTAAATAAAAATAAAATGTAGTTTCTTATTTACTCCAAACATGTTTTCAGGTTCTCAAAAGCTATAAAATCATTATTGGCATATCAGTGAAAGAGTATATTTCAGATATATCAAATCCTTTTTTGTGCTTTACATGTACTTTATAAATATACTTGGGAACTTTAAGTATACTTTACTTAGTTTCTTTATTATGCTCTCCTAAGCCCATTTTGTGCATTTCTATTCATGAGCCATCCTAGTTTTATAATTTAGAACGGTCTCATGACAGCTCGACTCCCCTAAAAGATAAAGTTCTGGAGCCTTGGGCTATGTTGTGTGTATTGTGTACACCCTCAGGTCCCAATTTGAGATGTTCCCATTCAAGCTGTTACAGTGGAAATCCTCTACTTAAAACTAGGTCTCACATTAGTGCTATTAACGGACACATGAACAAGCAACACTGTTACTCACAAAGAATTAAAGGTATATCCCAATGTTACATTTAAACTAAAACCACACTCTACACTAATGAAATCAAAGTATCAGCAGTAAGGAAAAGGATTCAATTTTTGTTTTTTCTCTTTATAATGTCTACCATGATTTTGATAATTTTGTGTGTATCATAATGAGGGAGCACTTCTCAGCAAAATATCAGCACGTCTCTTGTCATATTATTACAAGGAGAAGATGTGGCATGAGATACCATGGTGGATTCAGTCATTTAAAAAACAGAACCGTGTATATTATCTAGGGTGAAACAGATCACTAGCCCAGGTTGGATGCATGAGACAAGTGCCTGGGGCTGGTGCACTAGGAAGACCCAGAGGGATTGGGTACAGAGGGAGGTGGGAGGGGGGATCGGGATGGGGAATACATGTAAATCCATGGCTAATTCATGTCAAATGTATGACAAAACCCACTACAATATTGTAAAGTAATTGCCTCCAACTAATAAAAATAAATGAAAAAAAATGACACCAAAGCTAAAAACCATTACAAAAAAAAAACCAGAACTGAAATTCAGGCACCAGTGAGGCAATCAATCCAGCAGCAAACCTGGAGGGCTCATCAACAATACTGTCGGCTGACAGCAGAGAGACCTTAGCTGCTATGTGTTCAGGGGCAGAACACGTTTTAATTAAGAGGCTTGGCTGTTCAAGGTAAAAAACTGAAAGCCATGGAGACAAAGGATGTGTTTTCTATCTTTTAAGTTAAGAAACTCAGTTGACGAATAAAGAATAAGAAAAGGCATATGAATATAAACAGGTGACTTCAAGTAAGGAACTGAGGAACATTGGAAGAATACCCAGAAGAATGTCTGATAGGATATTCACTGACTCAATCAAGAAGATTTTACATTACTTTTGGAGGAAGGAGGGAAAACCCAGGTAAAATTTTCGACTTAATAGGAAACATGATTTACATTAAAATAAGCAATTTCCTAGAAGTGATACTTAGCACTGCTGTGGTGAAAATAATACCAAGATGGTATGACTCTAGGTGTCTATATGCAGCCTCAGTAAGTGAACTTGAAATCCTAACAGAGGGGAGATACAATTTCAGATACAGTCTCACTGGTGTCAGTGAATTTGTCAAAGTGTCACATATGGATGGAAGTCTATACTTCAAAACTTCAAACACAAAACCAATAGGAGGAAATGGGCACAGAACTGTCCCTAACAAAGATACCCACCTTCTTCATCTACTAAGTTGGTAATGCATAAAAATACAGATGTGCTCATATACACTCTGTCCCCCCACCTCCCTCACCCCGCCCCCCACCACTCTGGCCGGCTAGTGCTGAAGTAATGGAGAAACGAAAAAGTATGTGCATTACCAGTGTAAAATGGGAAAAGCTTTCTGGACGACAATGGACAGTATGTACTAAAAAGTTAAAAACTTCCTTACACATTTTGACTCAGAAATTCCTCTAAAAACTGGGACACAACTCAAATGTCCAATAAAGAATTAGTTAAATAAATTATGGTATAGGCTTAGAATACTAGTTGAATACTATATCACCACTCTGGCCGGCTAGTGCTGAAGTAATGGAGAAACGAAAAAGTATGTGCACTACCAGTGTAAAATGGGAAAAGCTTTCTGGACGACAATGGACAGTATGTACTAAAAAGTTAAAACTTCCTTACACATTTTGACTTAGGAATTCCTCTAAAAACTGGGACACAACTCAAATGTCCAATAAAGAATTAGTTAAATAAATTATGGTATAGGCTTAGAATACTAGTTGAATACTATAAAGTCATATTATCACCTTCCTCCGTATACCGTAAGCCCATTAAAAAAAAAAAAAAAGCCAGTCTCTCTGTCTTACTCATGACTAAACTATACAATATAGTGTTACCTTTGATTTTCTTTGGAAGTGAGAATATGGAGAGTTTTATTTTCTAAAATAACTAGATATTACTTTTTTTTTTCTTTCCAAACATAACTAGATACTATGTTTTTAACAGAGAAAAATCCTTACATTTGGATTAGGATAAAGTGAAAACAGACAGGAAGAGTTACGAAGAACACCATCTGAGGGCACACACTGTGGATTCTACAACTAGACAGGATATGGATACAGCTTTCCCAAGTGCACACTATAAAAGCACCACAGGCCAGTGATACTTGGGGAGGGGATGAAGGGAGGTAACTGTCATTTTAGAAAAGTAAGTATTCAATACACTGACTTAATGTAACATTCTATTTGTCAAATTCAGTGGTAACAAACAATGGGAGAAATTATTCTGGGTTTAATTCTGTCCAGCTAGAAAAAAACTGGCTGGTGATGGAGAAGGTGACAAGGTGACAGGAATTCTGTGGTAAAAATAACTGTAATAGAAAAAGGGACCACTAGCCCTGGTTAAATCTGAACTATGACTTTAGCAAAATGCATTTCAAAAAGTTCAGGGAACAAATAAGTATGATTTTGTAGTTAGACTCTTCAAAGGGGGCTAATAACTGACAAGAAATAGAAAATTATAAAAAACAAAATTCTGACCAACCAAACAACTGCATATACTCTCTTTGCAAAGTAAAAGGAGAAGGACCAAAGAACCCAAATAAAAGGGTTTTCCTTGATGAGCTCATAATTTAAAAAGTAGGGCACACATCCCAGGAAGAATAGAAAAATAAAAATGTGAACCTGTCAGAACAAGCCAAATTCAGTTTAAATGAGGTTAACAGCAAAAGGTTTTCAAAGCAAGACCAAGAAAAGTTAAGCCCTCTGACCAGGTAAAAAGACAGAGAAGACAGACCTTGTCCAACTCTTATCATGATTCCCTTTTCTGTTAGAAGGGTTTTCAACCTGAAAAGGATATAACAAAAATCCTAATAAACAAAATGCAGCCCAAGGAAGGTGAGGGAAATCTATACATTTTAAATGTCTTTAAAGCCAGAATCTATAGTCTAAAAACACATTCTAAAACAAATTACAGAAATTTAAGTTACAAATATTTAAGCACTAGAAACTTCTTTTAAGTCTTTAACAAAATTTTTTTCATTTCCATCTTTGATGCAGTTTCTTTCTTGATGGAAAAAATCTGAAAGTTTTCTTGACAAAAGCAAAGTATTTTTACTAATTTTCATAACATTATTGTATAAATGAATATTGCAAAGGTTGGTCTCTAGTTTAGCAAACAACAAGAAGGGTAATTCAGAGTTAATTATAGAGCATCAGAAGAATAATCCCTAGGTAAGCCTGTCTAGTCCCATTTAACTTATTTTATCAGTAACCTTGGTAAAGGCAAAAAAAAAAAAAAATCTAGTAGGCTCTACCTTGTCCTCTTTGATATGTTTTATTAGTTGTTCAGGGAGAGGCAAAAAATTGGTATGTTTATAAAATGTGCAGATGACAAATAACTATATAGAAAACCTAACATTCTGATATTTTAGAACATATTCAGGATTAGGATTTAAAATTCTCATTAGTATGGAGAAGATGTTAGCCATAGTCATCATTAAAATCCGAAGGACTTTTTCAAGTAAGAATTGGGTTGGTTTTCTATAACCCCAGAGTAGGGTCATTGAGTGAAAGAGGTATAAGGGAATAAATTTCTAACAAAGTGATACAAAAGTCGAATGTGCTACTGAATATTCTAGTTTCTGAATATATACAAGTATGGGAGACTAGGCTTTCAGTAGATAATAAGGAGGGTGAAATGAAATCAGTGGTTTTCAAATTTCTTTTAATAGCAGAACCATTGCACTGGAAGAAACCTTACTCAGAGGACTAATACAAAACAGAGAGAAAATTGCTTTAGTTGAAATTCCCAACTACATCTTACACTTAACTCATCTGGCACTGGATCAGATGATCTCTAAAGTAATTCTTATGATCTTATGATCTTATATTCCTGAAGATTTATTATTCTACAGGGTCCAGATGAATGGTTTCCCAAATGGAATGAATGGGAGGATCTGTTGGGGGTGTGGAGAAAAATCAGATAGATACAAACACTGATATAAGAAATTATACTTTATGATTTGAGAAGAGTGTATACACTTTTCATAAGTTTCTCGTGTCAGTCAGAGCCATGGTCAGATATAATGCCCCCAGGAACCGATGTGTTTTAAAAATGATTTAAACACCGAAAATTTTTGAGGGAAAAAACCTCCATATCCACTGATTAACCACAACTGTTTTAATTTTTGTATATTTCTTTCTAGTCCTATCCACATGCAAATACACATTTAGGCCCAGTTACCAACATGGTACGTAGGATTTTAAAATTTTCTCCATGTAATTTAAGATGAATACTTCCACAAATCTAAGTTTCATAATAACTATCTTTTATAGTTACATAAAAATAGAGATTTCATAATGTATTGAATCATTTTCCTACTGCTGACCACTCATATCATATTGACTCTCCTTTTTGTTATTATATAACTTGTTGTTTACTCACCAAGTCTGACTCTTGCGACCCCATGGACTGCAGTGTATGTGCCATGTTGGTAACTGCCTAAATGTATATTTGCATGTGGACAGGACTGGATAGAAGTAACTACTCTTATTTAGTTAGAGGTACATATTGCAATTCATTCACCCAAAGGTGAATTATTGTGGTGCTGTAGCTAGGGTGGGTGATTAGAAATTCTAATTTTGAAAATTCTGAATTAGAAAAATTTCCAGGCTCAGATTTTCAAGGTGTGAGGCTTTGGAGTGTAATATTTTACTTCTTCATACCTTGGAGTAGACCTGGAAATGCTTTGTCATGTTGGCAGGCATTCACTTCCTCCCTGCTTGGGTGGAGATGGGATGTCCATCTATTCAGGTGAAGAGAGTCATATATTCTTTTGTCATAAAAGGATGGATGTCAACCCTGTCTTTCACATGGCTGGTTTTCAACACTTATGAATCTGTCCTTACTTGGCAATAACAGTAAAGTGGTGTAGCAGTTTCTTTCCACTGAAGGCCCATGTGACCAGGCAAAGTGTTAAGCAGTTTGTACACTTTATATCTTACTTCTCATAACTCTATGTAGTGGGTATTTACTATTCCTATTGTATGCATAAAGAAATTGATGCTGAGAGACAGCAAAGAACATGTATATTTTAAGATCTTACTAAAGAATGTAACTTATACTACCAAATACTTATTTAAAATATGTATACATGCACATACATATGTATTTACTTAAATCTGGGCCATTAAGGCCATACAGTCAATCCCTTCATTTAGATGAGCATTTCCTAAGATGTTAGGTGACATTACTTGGCTCCCATAACTTTGGCCCCAAAGAAAACTATTTTGCTTTAACCATATTGTAGTGTTGTGCCTTTAGCTCATACTGAGGGGCATTTAAAAAAGTTTCCAAATGGAGTCACCATTACATTTATTGTTGAAATGGTGACAAGAGTTTCATTCACTCTCTCTTGTGTGTGCATGTGCTCAAGCGTGTCTGATTCTTTGAGACCCCATGAACTTATATAGCCTACCAAGCTGTTCCTAGCCATGGAATTTTCCAGGCAAGAATACTGGAGTGGGTTGCCCTTTCCTCTTCAAGGGGATATTCCTGACCCAGGGATCGAACTTATACCTCTTTCAGCTCCAGCAGTGGCAGGCGGATTCTTTACCACTAGCTTGTAGTACCAAAGTTGCAGCCCTAAAGGAGAACCACTTCTCAAACAGCAGGGTCAGAAATGGTGTGCTTCTCCTAAGCCACCAGTGTGCTTTTTATCTAATGAAGTATATGGGAAATTTTAAACAGATAACACTTCCTTATTTAGCCACTAGGAAGCTTAGTGAAATATCTGAAATCCTTCCTTGTATTAAGATACTTAAGGCATGCATTTCTTTAAACTAATTTTAGCTCTGCCCTTAGTCTACTATTCCTATAAAATTCCTCATATCCTGATCTACTTCAACTTTAAAGTAAATTCTCAGGATCAAAGCTCAATGCCAGTTTCCATATTTAAGTTGAAATCTGATCTCAATAGCTATAAAAATGTATGTACAGCAGTAAAATTATTTTTTGATGACTGCTGTAACTTATATCAAAGCAACATCAAAATCAGGTTATACTAGGCTCCTACCAGGCAGACAACTTGCCCCAAATCTTAGTTGTAATCATTAACTAGTATTTCACATTAAGAAAATCATTTAAAATTACCCAAAACTTACCAATCATAATTCTCATTGTATTCATAGTCGAAAACAATTCCTATAAACTAACTCAATAAGTAAATGTGCTAGTTTGGGATTAGGGCCTATTCAATGTTTTAAACAATCAACACAATCTAACCTAGGCCAGTGATTTAAGTTGATTAATAGCTCATTGAAGCAATTCTGTCTTCCTTCTAAATACAGGTCATAGTTAAAAGCAAAACAAAAAAACTATTTTTTCAATTAAAAAATTCAAAGCACATTTCCGTACATATTTGATATGTACCATATTACTTGAGGAGAGCATTGCCACTCATTTTATAGATTGAGAAAATGAATAGTACATTACTAAAACTAATGAAGTTCAAATGACTTTCTCAAGGTAGCATGTGCTGATGAAACTAGAACTAGAAAAGAGACCTTTTTTTCCTAGACTTTTTTTGGAGTGAAGATGGGTCACAGATTAGAATGAAATGTTGTCAATCTTTATTAGCAACATTCAAAAGATTAAGTCTGGATAGGAACAATCAATTCTGTCAGACAACAGAAGGTAGATTTTGACCTCACTGTTGAATGCTAAGAACTAGTAATGCAAGGTTTTATTTCCTGGAGCATAAATGCCCTTGGGCAAATAATCTGATCCAACGAGGTTCAATGCAACAGATAATTAAGTAAAAATGAAGTCAGCTCCTGACATCTACATTTTGGGGGCTGTGGGGGGAGTCCAATTATGCTACCGATTTCTAACTTCATTTTAGCTGTCCTTTGGAGGACCTTCAGTTCACTCAAGGGTTGAGTATTTTCAGAACATCGTAATGTAATTCTAATCAAATGAGGTCCCAATGTGAACCAGCTCCAGGACCAGCAGTATACCTGAGCTCTAACGTGAGAGATCATTTGGGTATTTTGGGGGGGCAGGGGATAGACAAGATTTAGTCATATTCTGATCTAAGTCTTAGCTAAATGAATTTGCATTGCAGCTTCAGCCCTTTAAATGATTAAATTACACCAATCTACATTCAAACTTCTTGAAAATTTGCCTCTCCAGTATATTAATATAATTTACATTCAGGGTAATGGAATTAAAGTGAATTATCTTCAATAAGATTACATTTCTGCAGACCATTTTCTGCTATAAGCATCTCACTTAATATATTAATCAAGAAATTATACAGAAAGCATGACTTTTAAAATAACAAAGTGACATCACTTATATTGTAATAAGATATTTATACCTTATATATAAAGCATTTATGGGGTCCTTTCATGCTTTTTGGAAATTAAAGCAACACTTCAGTCACATTTAATCATTTGGCTATGCTATGTTTTTGATAGCTGGAAGGTACTAAACATTCATATTCAACAAATGATATAAAATGGAGACAAAACCAAATCATGCATTTTTAGAAGAGACTTCTGTGTTCTCACCTGAGGCTGCTGTGGTATTTGAAGGAGTTGAAGCAGCTGCTTGAATCCGAGCATGAGGAGGAATAAGGATGGTAGCTAGAGGTGGATTACTTGACAGTTCTAGAGAAAAGGTAAGATACATGTGTTAAGAGTCCATTCTTAACTCTGTTGAAACTATTTTATTGGTATCAGAACAGAAGACACGGCATTATAACACTGGTTTAACAGAAAAAAAGACATGATAAACCTACATCTGAAACTAAATCATGAGCGAGTAATTAACCTATACAGCAAGGCCACCAATATGTTGTGATATATAACAAAAGCAAAATTCAGGTATCTTTGAGAACTAAAGATAGGCTGGGGAAAGGTACTAGCCAAAATTTTGAGGGTTAGCGTATTAATAAGATATGTTTCCATCATTCATTAACTTAAATATACTAGGTTTCCCCTTGCTACTCTGACAATATCTGACTGCAGGGGTTGACAGTGATAGGATCACAGAAAAGAAAATATAACTGCAGTCTGTACATTGGCATGCACAGACCAACTTACTTGATGGCAGGTATGATTTATCCAAACAGTAGTGGAAACAGGATTAAGAAACATGTTAATTCTCATTGCTTTTGCTGAAAACAAAAATGTCTACTGAATCCTATTTTGCTTTTTTTTTAATTTAAAATACTGTTTATTTGTGATTTTACATTAATTAGCATTACATCTAAGAGCAATATCAGATAACATTTATACATTTTCCACAGGACACAGAGGTTCATTGGCTCATTCTTTATGCCAAAGCAAGTAAATAGAGGCATTAGCAAAAGGTGCAAATAGTTCACTGTTGCATTTAAAAAATACTTATGCACACTGCATTCATTTAAGATATATATATTTTTTAAAAGTTATGGAAAGTATAGTTCACAGGTTACTGTTTCTACATGTTGTAATACAACATAAATGATGTAGAACAAAAAAGAATCCTCAAACACAGAATTAAGCAACTGAAGGTTTCCACTAAGATTAAAACACTGACTCCAGTAGTTAGTGAGATCTAAAACGAACTTTCCAGGCTCCATTTCAACTTTGCATCATCAAACACTCACAGTCAAACAGAACCAGCCCCGCAACACACTATAATCCATGGAATTTTTTTTATACACCAACTCACCCTCCAGAAATACTTTGGATTATTTTTACTCGTTGACTATTTTGGATCATTGATTTTACATTGATTTGTGACATTACTTGGGTGAAAGGGAAAAAAAAAAACTATATTAAGCCTAGGTTTAAATTTGTATTTACATTAGAAAGAAAGTTAACTGAAAAGATAAGAAAAATTGGTAAAAATTAATAAGTGGTAGTTTTCTCATGGTGGGGGTGTGGGGATTAGACCCACTGCTTTCTTCTAGTGCCACCTTCTAAAAATCATAACGTTAAAAAGGATTTCACCCTTTTAAAACCTGAATGTCAACTAAGAAATACAATGGTTTTGGAAGAGAATCAGAATTTCAGCAATTGGGGACATGCTTTCAATAAATTACACTTCAAATCCTATCATGACGGTGCAGCATCACCCTAGAACTCTTCTCCTAACACCTCTCTTATTCCCGTCACTGCTCACTTCCTCTCTCAGTCTCTTCCTTCCCATTTGGTTACCATGCGAGGGCTTTTTCATTCATTAGCAATACTAAGAGAAAAATACATTATAAGGTTCAAATATGAATCTTGTTATGCCTTTAAATGCTCGAATCCCCTTTTGATACTAAGTCCCTGGATTCTTTAATTATATTTATGCCCATTGAAACAATGGGAACCCAAAAGTTACAGTCAATAATCATGATAAAAAACTATAATCTCATTACCAAGTGAAGCAGGTTTTGAGAAACAAAAATTCTCTCACTTGTTCACTGGTAATTTCTTTCTAGATATTATGTAGAAGGCCTGAAGTAATTCAGACAGATATCTGTTTGTGGGGATTATAATAATACTTCATGAGGGCAAAGCTAATCAAAACTAGCAATTGTTTAAAAATTCAAAACCTTTTTGGGACATAGAAAATGAGAGATGACTTTGAAAGTGTTTTTCATAATATGCTTTTCTTTTAGTAAAACTCTTTCCTGTTCTTAAAAGTCCAGTTTGCTACAGACCCCCAATCTGATCTACCACTGCATATTAATGATCAACTTATATGTGATTTTTAAATGTGCAACGTCACATTGTAATAACAATTATAAAAGACTCTATTTAGGCTTCAACTTTCTCCTTTTTTTTGTTCTTTTTCAGAAAAGAAGGAGTGCGGAATTTCTTCTTTTTCTTGGATGGTGATTTTGAAGGTGAGCCTTCGGGTGACAGGACTTCTTCAATTTTTTCTGGAGACTTGATGGTTTTTAACCTAGTAAGACTGTTACCTTTTAAAAGTTTAAAGTAGGCTTTTATCTGCATGTGGAAGTTTCTCTCTGTCAACTGTATGCAAACTGGCTTTCTTTAAAGAATCAAGTGCTGTATATGAGTGTTGAGAAATAATTTTAAGATGATATTTGATCTAATAATGTAAACAGTTACTGAGACATGGTGGTGAGCTTGTACATAAAAGCATCTGGTGTTAATTACAGGTAATATGATTGTTCTTCCAGTCTGCCTGGGATAACCCTGGTTTGTTCTGGCATGTAACTAGCGAGCACTCATTTCTACTCTAATAAGTGTTGTTACAAACAATTCTACCTATTGTTCTAATAATTTAAAGGAATAATTATACAACCATACTAGCTACAGGGAGGTGTTATCCTCTGAGCTACAAGTAATAATTACAGCATGAACTAAAAAAAGTTAGGAAATAGTGTTTTCTTTAAAGCAAAATTCATACAATATAGAATTAATCATTTTAAAGTATATAATTTTGCTGTATTCAGTACATTCACAATGTTGTACAACCATCACCTCTACCTAGTTTGAAAAAATTTTCATCACCCTAAAGGGAAACCTTAAGCAATTATTCACCATCCATCCCTCCTGCCAGCACCTAACAAGGGAAATATAATTTTAATGCAGAACTTTAAAAATGTTCTGGTATAAAGTCCCTGGAAATATTGACTTAATCAACTTGGTGCCTAAATATCTAAATTTTGTACTAAATCTGATACTCAGATGGTAAAAAGAAGCAACATGCTGATGTCAAGATATATGGAAAATGAATGGCAGGAAAAGCTCAAAACCGAGAGAAGACCATTCATTATCTTTTCCCCTTCAAAGAGAAGACTTAGGTCATCTCATCAAATAATAACCTTCCCTGAGTTGGAAAATCACTGCCTTAATGATCAGGTTTGAAGAAATGCTGTTTTCTCATAATCAGCTGTAGTAGCTATTTCAGTTTTCACTGAGATACAGAAAGAACCTATGTAGTTTTACTTAAATCAGTCCAATTTTAATGCAATCTCACACCTACAAAAACAGGAGAATCCCTGATAATTGTCGGGGCTGATGACTTTCCGGTTCTAGGAAGAGAAATTAATGCAAGATGTGGTAATTACTCTTCAGTAATCTAAAAGACAGTCAGATTTACCATCCCACTTAAAACTAAAATTTCCTACAATAAAAAAGCTTCTTTAAAATCCACTCATCCATCTACCCACCCACGCCCTCATCCAACTAACACTACTGGGCATGAAAGACTGTGTGAGGTCCCGGAGAGACAGGTAAAAAGATTGTTGTCTCTGTCTACTCAACAGAAATGGAAAAATGGAAGGACAATTATACAAATAAGCTGGCAAGAAAGGTAATGAATCAACTCAAGACAGGTGCATTTTTAAATTAAGAGATCTCTATGACCATGTACCCAACATCTAAAAGAAAATCCAGGGACTTCCCTGGTGGTCCAGTTGCTAAGACTTCATGCTCCCAATGCAGGGGGGCACAGGTTTGATCCCTGGTTATCAGGGAATTAGATACCACATGCCACAACTAAGACTTCACATGCCGCAAGTAAAGATCCCACATGTCGCAAAGAAGACTGAAAATCCTGTGTGCCACAACTAAAGACATAGCACAGCCAAGTAACAAACATTTTTTAACATAAGAAACCATATTATCTTCATTTAAGTATTTTTTAAAAGCATATACAGCCTTTTAATTACAGTCCTGTTGTTGACTTTCGGGCACAGATGCTGTTAGGCTATTTTCTTCCTTTTGTAAAAGTATTTAAATTTATTTACTTTTGATTGGAGGATAGTTGCTTTACAATATTGTGTTGGTTTCTGCCATATATCAATATGAATCAGCCAGAGGCATATGTATGTCCTCCCACTCAAACAAAACATTTGAAAAAAAGAAAATGTAAAAAAGGAAAAGATGACCAGATATTTTAAGAGCTACAGTTGAGATAATCTTTAAAATAAATTGAATATAAGTGGTTTGTGGTCACATACTGCCCACTTTCTCCCATTCACTCACTCATTTACCAAATCACCTATTCTTGTGTATATGCACATCCAATTGAGGGCCATGGTGGTTTCGTGGTTTTGCACACATACACATGAAAGGCTTGAGAAAAACAATCTTCTTTTTCTCTAGGTAATACAGGAAACAAGGAAGCCCATAATATTAGTGGGGCTAGCCGTGGAGAAGAGGTGGGAAAGAATGAAACTGTGTTATCCCAGAGACATGGAACAAAACAAAATGGAAACAGGTTCCAGAAGGTTTTAAAACCCTTAATGTATGATAAGGACTTCTTCAACCAACTAAAGATGCCATAAAACTACTCATTAAAAAAATCACATAGTTTATCAGTAAACATTAAGAATGCTTTGATGGTGAATTAACATACGGTCCACCATCAAAACACAATGCACAATTTGAGCAAGAACAAAATGAATTTAAAGACAGCTATCAATAAGCCAACCAAGACAGGTATCAACTGACCAAAAGGATAACCAAACTCATTTAACTAAAATTTGCTACACTATTTATATTAAAACTGCAGAAGAAAAATTCCCTTGAAAAGACCACCATTAAGTTAAGCAATCTTTTTAAATGTTAAAAACAACAACAAAACCTAAATCTAGTTGCTGGCAAACCTGAAGTTTCCCTTAAAGTTTCTCTTCATCTAAATGTAAGATTTCCAAATT